GAGTCCAGTGAAGCCTGTGGAAGTGGAGCCGTCGGGATCTTCATTTGCTGATGGAGCACAGCTCAAGGTCAAAGAAACAGTTGCAAAATCTTCTAATTATTAGTACTTGGAATGTGTAAAGTAGTAATTTAGGAAAATTGGAAGTGGTCAAATATGAAATGGAACACATAAAATGGATATCCTAAGCATTAGTGAGCTGAAATGGACTGGAATTGGCCATTTTGAATCAGAAAATCAGATTATTTACTATGCTGAGAATAACACAATCAAGAGGAATGGTACTCATTGTCAGAAAGAATCTTGCTAAATCCATCATGAAGTACGATGCTATTGCATCTGTCTGCCTTCAAGGAAATCCAATCAATACAACTATTATTCCAATGTATGCCCCAAACACAAAGGTGAGTAATGAAGAAATTGAGGAATTCTACCAACTTCAGTTGGAAACTGATCAAACATGCAATTAAGATGCACTGACAGTTCTTGGTGACTGGAATGCAAAAGTTGGGAACACAGAGGAAGGAACAGTAGTTGGAAAATATGGACTCAGTGATAGAAATGAAGCTGGAGATCACATGATAGAATTTTGCAAAACTGATGACTTGTTCATAGCAAATACCTTTCTTCAACAACACAAAAGGTGACTATACACATGAACTTCCCCAGATGGAATACACAGAATTCAAATTAACTACATCTGTGGAAACACACGATGGAGAAGTTCAATATCAGCAGCGACAGCCAGATCACAAGCAGACCGTGGAAGAGACCATCAATTGCTCACAGGTAAGTTCAGGATAAAGCTGAAGAAAATGGAAACAAGCTCACAGGAGCCAAAATACAAGCTTGAGTCTATCCCACCTGAATTTCATGAACAGATTGGCTGCACTGAACACTAATGACAGAAGACCTGATGAGCTGTGGGAGGACATCAAGACCATCACACGTTGGACAGTGTAAAATAGAACAAAATAATAATAATTTATAAATTATGAAGAGTCCATGAGGGAGGGGGGAGCGGAGAGGAAGGGGGGAAATGAAGGAAATGAGGAGCTGATACCAAGCAGAAAGCAAATGTTTTGAGAATGATGATGGAACAAATGTACAAATATGCTTGACACAATAGATGCATGCATGGATTGTGAAAAGAGTTGTATGAGGCCCCAATAAAATTATTTTTTTAAAAAGAAGACAGGAAAGAAAGAAAATACTAAAGTGGATGTCAGTAGAGACTCTGAAACTTGCTCTTCATCGTAGAGCAGCTAAAGCAAGTGGAAGAAAGGATGAAATCAAGAAGATGAATAGAAAATTCAAAAGGCAGCTCAAGAAGACAAAGCCAAATATTGTAACAAAATGTGCAAGGAACTAGAATTAAAAACCAAAAGGAAAGAATGCACTCAGCACATCTGAAACTAAAATAACTCAAGTAAACATTCAAGTCTCAACTTGCAATTTTGAAAAGTTCCATACGCAAAATATTGAATGATGCAAGAAGCATCAAGAGCAGATGGAAAGAACAGAGCGAGTCACGGTATCATAAAGAACGAATCAACAGCCCACCATTTCAAGAGGTAGCATATGAGCAAGATCCATGGTGCTGAAGGAAGAAGTTCAAGCTGCACTAAATTAATTAGCCAAAAACAAGGTTCCTACAATTTATTAGAATATCCATTAAAATGTTTCAGAAAGCTGAAGAGGCACTGGAGTCATGCTCTCATCTACCAGGAAATTTGTAACACAGCCACCTGTGTTCCTTGACTACACAAAGGCATTTGACTGTGTGGACCTTAATAAGCTGTGGATAAACTTGAGAAGAACAGATATTCTGGTACGCTTCCTAGTATTCATTTGGAACTTGTACACGGATCAAGAGAAAATTGTGTGAAAAGAAAAGGGAATGTGCATGATTTAAAATCAGGAAAGGTGTGGGTCAGGATTGTATCCTCTCACCGTACTGTTCAATGTGTATGCTGAGCAAATCATCAGAGAACCTGGATTATATGAAGAAGAGTGTGGCATCAGGATTGGAGGAAGGCTTGGTAACAACCTGGGGTATGCAGATGACAGCCTTGCTTGCTAAAAGTGAGGTGGAATTGAAGCCTTGCTGATGAAGATCAAAAACTGTAGACATCAATATGGATAACAACTCAATGTGAGGAAGACTAAAATCCTCACAATTGGATCAATAGGTAACATCATAATAAATGGAGGAAAGTTTGAAGTTGGTAAGGATCTTGTCTTACTGGGATCTATGAACAATGCTCATGGAAGCAGCAGTCAAGAGATAAGAAGACATATTCCATTTGGTAAATGTACTGCACAAGATCTCCTTAGAGGATTGAAGAACAAAGATGTTACTTTGAGGACTAAGGTATGCCTCACCCAGCCAGGATGTACTCCACTGCACCCTCTGATTGGGAAAGCTGAACAAGGAATAAAGGAACTTGGAGAAGAATTGATGCATTTGAACTGTGGTGCAACTATTGGTCTCTCCATATGCAGAGGAAAGAAAAGTGATCAAAATCAAAGACATGTGCAAACAATCTGTCTAGTGGCCTACTGAGCCATGTAAACATCAGTCTCCATTACACTGGGAAAATCTACTACAATTCCCCCTGGGAAAGGCCAACAAACAGTTTTCATAAGCTTCTAAGCTGACCTCTCTGCCTTAAATGTAACTGATCTTGTTTTGATTTTACTCTTTTGGGGGGAAGGCACCCTAATGAAACTAAGACAGGTGTTTTACTGAGAGAGCCTGTCTCAAAGATATGTTTAAGTACCGTTTGCTTGGAATAAATCTACGAATGTATGAACTGGAACCATAGTAACAACGCTGTTTGGCCCCTGGGTTCTCAGAAGAATTAAAAGCATGGACTCAAAGAGATACTTGAACACTAATGCTCATTGAACAGTGATTCACAATAGCCAAAGGCAGAAACTATCTAAATATTTATCTTTGAGTATTATCCCGAAGTCCTGAGGCATGGAAGAACTTTGAAAACACTATACTGAGTGAACTAAGTCAGTCACAAAAGGACAAATAGTTTGAACCCACTTACACAAAATTATCTAGAACAGATCAATGCATAGATAACCGTTTATTAGTGATCACAGGGATGGGAAGGAGGGAGAGAAAAAGGAAGTGCTGCATTTCCATTAAGGGTGATGGGAAAATGGAAATGGATAATGGTGATGGCTACACAACATGATGAGCACAATGTCAATAAATTGTGCATATGAAACTTTTTGAAATGGCAAGCATAGAGATATATACATTAATGTATTTTATATGTGTGTATATATTTACCATAACAAAGAGAGATATAAAAATGGCCTTCTACTGAGGAAGAGATAATTCATTTTCATTCACTATAGAATGGGATTGAAAACTACAGTTAAATATCACTTCACTGAATGGATACCCTGAAACGCTAGCCACCATAATGATAAAAATGCAAACTTTGACACTAAATACTACTGGCAGCATGGTGGGGAAACAGGCATTCCTCAGGGAAATGCAAACGGGAGGGTATCTGGCATTATCTGAAAAAAACAAAACAAAACCCAACTACATATGCATTTGTGCATTGACCTAGCAATCCCACTTTTAAGACTTTATCTTGAGATACACCTCCAACAATAGGAAAATATATATTCACAAGATTCTTCATTACAGCAGTATTTGTAATTACAAATTATTGGAAACTACTTCAATGTTCATGTAAGATGATTAAGTAAACTATGGTATGACACACAATGGAGTACTATGCAGCTATAAAGATGGGATGAGAAAGATCTCTAATAACTAATATGAAGTGATTTCTAAGATATATTATTAAGTGAAAAAAAGCAAAATGAAAATGGTCATTTGCAGAAAGTTACCTTGTGTGTAAGGGCGGAAATAAGAAAAACATTACAGCTGTTGTTATCATAAAGCACACCTGAGGGCATGGAGGGATGGAGATGAGATGTATATCTACACAAAAGGAAATGGCCCTTCTCTGAGTATTCATTTTTGCTTTTTTGCAGAATTTTGACTTTTGAAAACAGTATTGAGTATTTCATATATTCAAAAAATTAAGACTAAGAAGGGGAAAAATAATTCAACAAATAAATATCACATTATGCCACTGAGAATAATTAATCCATATAGTTTATGAACACAATATCTCACTATATATACCTTCAAGTCTTGAGCAATGTAGTGTGGGGGAGAGGGAGTAAGATTTGCAGATCATCATGAACTATTTTTAAGTTGGTCTATTTGTTGTAGTACCATGGGTGAGGAAATTCTGAAACTATTTTAGATGTATTCTAAGATTGAACTAGGAAGTAGAAGGGACGCACAACTATGGAATGGGGGAAGGCAAGAAAGACATCTGTGGGGATGGTTGGAATTACAGGCATCTGATATCTTTAAATGTGTGTGTGTACAGTTGTGTGGCGGTGGGGAGGGAGCATACACAAGTATGAGTGCTTGATATGGCACATTTGCATAGGATAAAACAAGTAGGATAAAATTTTAACAATTACAAGTAATGGGCATGTACATGTTCTTTGTACTATTTTTACAACTCTTAAGTTTTAAAATGTTTCCAAATAAATGGGTTTTATTTAAATTTGTGATGTATAAAAACATTGTCTTCTGAAAACTTAGTTTTTTACTTTTCTAGTGCATATGTACTTTATGGTGTTATAATAATTAGCTGGCATTTATAATGAAAGCATATGAAAACTTTTAGGTTACAAAAATGAAGAGAAAATCAAACTTTTAAAATATAATTATACAAACATTAGGTCAACTGCCAGAGAGGTTTCATTTTAGTATAATAATTATGTATGTTGCTAATGCAATTATCAAATATCTTGGTCAACATAACTAGGTAATCATGTTTGAATATCACTATTATTAACATACTCTTGCGTTTCCTTACTTCTCCAAACAGTCACTGCTGATATTGCCAAATATTCCACAAATAAGGATTCTCTAAGCCACTTACTCTTCCAACGATCGATCAAGACCCCGGTCAGGAGACCGATGGTGAACACGGTCTGGTGAATGACATTTGGTGTTTGGCTTTATTGTAGTACTCATATGATATCCAGAACTTGAATAATTTTGGCGGCGAAGTTCTTGTACAGCTCTCTCCCTAAAGTAACATAGTGATGCTTTTAGACTTTATATTCAGGGATATTATCAAAATTGGCATAAACTGCAGCTCAAATCATACATTAAAATCTGACCACCACCAAGTAACCGCACCCTGCCGTTACCTAGAAAACAGTGCATTCCAGACCAAGCAAGCACGAGGAGGGGACTTACCTCTCGAAGCGCTCGGTCCCAAGTTGTCTTTTGGTAATATCTAAGTCAGCCTCCAGTTGCGTTACCACATTCCTGAACTGGGCCACATCTCTACTCTGGATGGCCCTGTGAATAAGTAAGAATAGGTGGCAGTGGACTCAACTTAAAATATGGCTATGACTCCCACTGTAACAAATATGCTAGTGGTTTTTCAGCTGGATTCAAGCCAACTTATTATTTGTATATTAAGATATATTCACAAACTTGTCACCATCAGGTCGAAGCTGTCTTACAGTGGTCCTAGAGGACAGAGCAGAACTGCCCTTCTGGGTTTCTGAGGCTGAAACTCCGTGGGATTAGAAAGTCTCATCTCTCTCTTCCAGAGTAGCTGGTGGTTCCGAACTACTGACCTTACAGTTAGCAGCCCAACGTGTATCTACTACACCACCAAGGATGTCTTAGTACATATAAAATGTTTCATTCTTTGATACAAGGCATATGTAAATTAGCCTGATTAAAGTGTCTAAGCAGTCCTAATACCCACTGTCATTGCAGATTCATTGATACATTGTAACCCTATACAGGTTTTCAAGCAATAAATCTTTACAGCACCAGACAACCTCATCTTTATTCTAAGTAGTGATTGGTGGGTTTAAACCACTGACCTGTGGTTAGCAGTCTAACACTTACCCAATAGTACTAGCAGTTCCTTTAAGCAGTCCTAGCCATAGTCATTTAGTTAAATTCTCTATGTTTCCATTTTCTCATGTATAGAGGGAGTAACATTATCTATCTCATCTACTGCTAATCATTTTTATAAAAGTATCTGAAGTATTATGTAAGTCCAAAGTAGTAGTATGATCAAAGTATTAGCACTGGAATTCACTAGCACAAGATTCGTATGATCTGAGATGAGTATGTGTGTAAATCTATATACACAAATATACATATAAATGTATGCATGTACATATATATACACACATGTAATTCAACCAAGTTCATCACACATACATATAATGAAGTTTGATATATAAACTTGTTAAATAGCATATTAAAGAAGAAAAACTTTTCAATTTAACAGAATCTTTCTTCCCTGGGGCTAACCTATGCTTCAACAACCTGTGAGAAGGCATAGCTATCATGAGGCGAAACAATGACAGAAATGAAGACTGTTTGCCCAGAACAGTCTGCCTTTGTCTTCAAAACCACATGAGTACTGAAATCTGAACATCAGAGACGAAAACCACAGAAGTTTATCATGCTTACAAAATCGAAGAGATAGTACTTGCTAGCCAGTTTAAGAAAGGAAGTACCCCCATCAAGTGGGAGTTTGGGCACATTTACAAGGCAGATTTCCACCTACCACCAGGAGAAAGTGACCCTGCAGAACCAGTTGAATCAATACATCACAATAACACAGTCAGAGCAGCCATAGTCTGAGAGCGGGTTCTGGAAAAAACTGGTCCTAGCCCAGCCCAAAACTAAAATCACTGCAATGGACTCATAATGACCCTACTGGACAGAATAGAAGTGCCCCTTCAGGTTTCTGAGACTTCTGATCTTTTAAGGAGTAGACGGTCACATCTTTCTCCTGAGGAGTAACTAGTGGGTTTGAACTGCTGACCTTGCAGTTAGCAGCTCAATGGGTAACCCACTATGAAACTACCTAGACTTAGTCAGGGACTCCTATGCTGAGTGGCTGAGTCATGATTCCTGTCCTTCAGGAGGCCCCTGGCTCAGGTGAGAGGCAGAATTGAGGATGGATGGGAACATGTTATAGATAGATAGGAACAGCAGTTAAGAGTCACCCTCAGTGTTTGTGAGAGATGACCACATTTTATAATAAAGCATTCCATATCTATGAAGGCTTTCCCCCACAAGTCAGGGGTCTTGACGTAATATGTTAATTATGCTAGGGAGTGTACAACAGTGAAAGTAACACTCTGGGAAGTCTTTAGTATTCCATGAGTACAGACAGGAGTTCTTCCAGGTACCTTATATGTACATAAGGAAACACTATGTGACAAATGGGTCCTTAAATATAACAATCCTTCTAGTTTCAGAAATGCTTAACTTTTTTCTATTCTGATTGTATTTTCTAAAGGCAATATTTGGGTTCAGAGATTCTATCATACCCAAAGATTTCTTTGAAGCTACAAGGACGGTTAACCTTAAATGTAGATAAGGGGAAAGAACATATTAAAAATTAGTACTGAATGGTAAGTGACAAGATTTCTTATCTTTGGATTATTCTATGGCAATTGGGGAGGCAAATTATCTAAATTCAAGTTTTCAAATTCTACTAATTTATAAGTTACCTAAAATCTAATAAATATGACTTTATATTATTATATTGCTAACCAACTCACATTTTATTTTCTGCCAAACAAAGGTGTTCTTTAAGAAGCTGAATTTCAGATTCCTTTTCTTGAAGCGCTATCTGTGACTGATATTCTTTGTCTCGATTGGCCACCAGCAAAGCTTCTAGATTCTGCATGGAGATTCTCTCATTTGTCATCTGACTCCTGAGGAGTTCGATTTCAGAACGAGCTGAATCTAACTCATTCTCGATCTGTATAAGAACAATAAGATAGCTACATTTATTCCCGTTCGCTTACCCCATAAGAAGATAACACTTCCATGTTGTTATAAACGTATAACCTTGATATAAAATGTGTTCTCTGTCTTTACCAAATACCCACAGAGACATCAAGTCTTCCAATTCACATTTTAAGCAAGGAATATCTAATCCCAAACTGCAAATGATTTCTATTTTCAGCTTTATTTCCCCACATATATTCCTTAAGGACTGATATGGTGGTACCTGCACTACTTCTTGTCCTTAATTAGATGAGATATAAAGAATGTCATAAAGTCTGTAAGGAGTAAATGTTCATCTCCTATCTTGCATAAGCCTTTTTGAAAGTTATTTTGTGCCTAGTGTATACTCTGAAAGCCAATTGCTTCCTATTTCTTCAAAAGGAGAAAAACCAGGCATTGCTATTTATAGGAAAAAAAACAATCATTTTTACCGCATAATATTAATTATAAAGCATTCTAAATACTTCAGAAGAGTTATATGTAAAAAGACAAATTTAAACAGAACTCCAAGAAAACAGAAGTGAATCAAAATGAAATTATTGGTGGAGGGATAGGTAGGTAGGCAGTGAAAGGCAGGACTTTCTAGACTTTGATAATGATAGTAAGTTTCAACCACATAAAAAAATGAGCATTTTGATAGATAATAGAAACTTAACCAAAAAATTTAAGGGAAATAAACTCAGTAAATACAACAACAAGATTTAAAATCTTTTATTTAACATAAAACATCTGTTGTATAAAGAGCTCATATAAGTTGAGGAGATATATGGACTTATAGGACTATAGAGTTAATTTAAAAAGAAATAACAATTCCCTGCCCTGTAGAGTCTGCCCTGGAGCTGATAGAGCCACTATAAATTAACATTGAGCTGATGGCAGAGGAAGTGATGCTCCAGGGGGATGATTGATAATGTTCTCTAACATAAAATAACCATGATGTGTGTAACGTGGACCAGAGGCATATATAAACCATAGCTATATGAATGGATTGGGGGCTTGCACTTAATTTTAGCCCCAACTGAAGAAAAATTCATCCTTTTTACTTTGTTTTATTGAATCGGGAGTTAATACATATATCCTATAACTCCGTAGTTCAATCACATCAAGCAGTACTGTACACTTGCTGCCACAGTCAGTTTTCAAACACTCTTTTCCTTCTTGGACTCCTTGACATCGTCTCCCTTTTATCTCCTGTGTTAGTCTGGGTAGACTGGAGAAACAAATCCACAGAAACTCATATGTATATAAGAGAGAGTTTTATATAAAGGGTAAGTGTCCATTCAGAAAGCATCCCAACCCAGTGCTGTCCAAGCCCATAAATCCAACATTGGCCCATATGTCCGACACCATTCTACAAAGTCCTCCTCCATCTTACAAAACACATGCAATGATGCGGACTGCAGGAGGAAAGTTGAATCAGTGAGCGTGTAAGCATCTCAGTGCTGGCAGGGGTCTCCACTCGGCTGATCTAGCACCCATGGCTCCATCAGAGTAGGTCCATGTGGCTTCTCCTCAGGGATATCTCACGGGAAGAGAACCTTGCCAGCTGAAGCATGGAACTGGCTAAGGCCACTGCACCCTGGTTTGACCATTAGAAAGCAAGAGACCCGAGAACTAGAAAGGTGAGGCTCACCAAGCCATTGATCTCTCCGCCCTTCAGTTAATCCCATATGTGTTTATCAGCCAGGTTGGCACAATAAACCTTAAGTATCTCACCCACCCACCACCATCGCAACTGTACCCAGAAGCCCTTATTCTACTTGTTGTCCCTATAAGTTTCATCAATCCTGGGTTTCATATACCTAAAGTCAGAAAAACATATAACACAAATTCAAGAGGGTGACCCCCAATGACATAACACATCTGAGACAGACCCCAATATGAACAAACAAAAACCAAATACAGAAAATGTTGAAAACCAGATCTGGTCCAGCAGGCATCAAAGAGGGGATCAACTGACAAGGTTTAAACCATTCAAGTCAGGGTTATCCCTTTGATCTTCTGTACTCATCTCTCCACTTTGTTTAGTAACCGCTTTCCTCCCATCCCTCTATTATGGATAGAGGAAGATCACTGAAGGCTTATTTCCTATATAGTTCCCACAAATGTATCTTGGGCTCCCACTGTCATTTGCAAACTGGATTCTCACAATTTAGGCTCTGATACTATTCCCTCCTTCTACTTCAGATGATATTATTTACAATCTTTTAGTGAATGATAATGATGTGCTTCTTCCATGTGGAGTTAGTTGACATCTCGCTTAGATGGAGACAAGCCTTTAAGACCCCAGACACTATTTTATCTTATAGCTGGGCACCATCTAATTTCTTCACCACATTTTGCTATGGCACCCATATCTTCTGTGTTCCCTTCCTGAGGATGAGTAACACGCAGGGCCATGATGAAAGAATTAATCGTTCTTAAGTTGGAGCTAGGATTTAGTGCAAGTCCCAAACCCATTCCTGGATCTATGTTTTGTTTGTTTTTTTAATCTGCCTTTGGCCACCTTTCAAATCCTCCTTGTTAATTTATGGTGGCGAGCCATATCGATCATCTCCCTAGGATATAATAATCTCCTATTAATATTGTCTTTGATTACCCCCTGGTACTAATTTTCTAAAGCCCTGTTAAGAAAGGGATATTGGGCCAATATAGGCTAACTCTATATCACACAGTACCCAAATCATTCACTTGTACAGAATCAATCCTTTAATAACCATAACTGTGGCCCAATTTTTAAAAACTAAGAACAACAAACGCTGGAGAGGGTGTGGTGAGATAGAACTCTGATTCACTGCTAGTGGGCTTGTAAATATATACAGTCACTGGGAAAAGCAATGTGGTGATTCATAAAATAGATGGCAATTGAAATGCCATATGACCCAGCAATACCATTACTGGGTATATATCCAAAAGAAATGAGAAACAGGCCACAAACAGACAGATGATTTCCCCATGTTCATTGCAGCACAGCTAACAATAGCAAGAAGTTGCAAACAGCCTAAATTCTCATCAGTAGAAGATTGGATTGAAAAACTCTGGCACATACCCGCAATGGAATACTACACATCCCTTAAAAAGCCATGAAACTATGAAACACCTCACGATGTGGAGGGATCTGGAAGACATTTTGCTGAGTGAAGTTAGTCAATCACAAAAGGACAGATACTGTAGAGTCCACTGCTGTGGGAACAAGCAGCAGAATGGGCACAAGCTCAGGTTTGCAGGGCATCTAGTCTGCTGGTCAGGGGGACCATACGGCCTGCTAGAGAGTCTGACTGATGCCAATGAACCATACACCACCTGCCAGTTAAGGATTTGGAAAGTCACTTTGCCAAGGGTGCCTCGTGTCGGCAGGAATCAAATGGTCAAGGGAAGGAAAGGGATGGTGTCTACTGAGTGGCTGCCATGCAAAGCTCTGATGAGGTCCCCCTGGACAGGTAGACAGTCCTATCAGCGATATGAGGAATACTGCTGGGAAAAACAAATCAGGAGAGGGGAAAGGAAGAAAACACGTCTAGGGGAGCACAAATGTATGTCTCCTGGTAGGAGAAGAGAGAGAACCGACCTCCAGTTGGGGGTAGGGGTGGGGGTAGGTGGGGGGGGGGATGACTGAAATGCTTTGGGGGACACTATAGGGGAGTGTCCCTGGTGGTATGCACTGAATGGGCCACACTGATCCGGACTTCTGGGTACATCCAGACTGGGTGCTGTGGAACGCTGGGACATTGAATCTTGGATCTTCAATGCGCACAGTGTACCCCAGAGGCTGCATCAGTGAGGTCCAATGCGGAAACTCCATTGGGTTAACAGGTCTCTAACTTAGACACACATGTAACCTGAGTACTTAAGTCAGAAAAAAACATGGTGTCTGAGGAAGCAGAAGACAGCTGTACCAAGATTGTTAAACTGTTGGTAGGCAGACAACATGGTCTTGCTACACCAATGCTGTATTAAGATATGTATTATTCCAGCAAACCTGTGACTGACATTTTCAGTGATTATTACAGTATATTTTCTCTGACACAGAACAATGAATTGTTATGACATGGCCCTGTTTGATGCCTGATCTCATGAAGAGATCACTGAAGGCATGGGTGCTGTAGCACAGTGTAATGAAGGAACTACGGTATCCAGCTATCAGAAAGTCTAGCGCCTGGGGTCTTAAAGGCTTGCTTTCAAACAAGCAGCCATCTAAATGAGGTGGCAACTAAGTCCACATGGAAGAAGTAAACCAGCCTCTGTGATCCAAGGATTATAAATAACATAATCCAAAGCTAAAGGAGGAAATGACATCAGAGTTTAAATTGTGAACACCTAGTTTGGAGAAGATTACGGATGACAGGGGAAGACCCACATTTATTCACGGGGCCCACACATGGACTTAGCTTCCAGTAAAGTCCTCTGATCACAGTTGAGGGCTGTGACAAACCCTATTGTCAGACAGAGAGCATTGTAACGTTTATGGCAGATGTAGTTGGGTCAAAATACAATATCTTATCATTTGACCTGCCCTGTGACCCATTTTAAAGCTATTTCAATGATTTTTTTTATTTTTTATGAAGGTGAAATACATGTGGGTGAACCCCTGGTGCATCCCCTCTGACCATGGACCAGGGGTGTGAACAGCTTTGCCAACATGCAAAATGCATTGGAAAGTGGATTGTTACAGATGCAGTTAGGTTGAAATTTAGCACCTTATCACTTGATCTTCCTTGAGATCCATTTAAATTTGTTCTAGCTTGTAATATTTTCTGCTTTCTTTTCTATTGAGGTCTTTTTGTTTTACTTTGTTATTCTTGTTAGTTTTGTTGTTGTTTGTTTTTTAGTGTCTTTCTCTATTTGAAATCCAGGATAGTTAAGTCTATAGAGACAGTAGCTGGATTGATGGTTCCTTGGGGGTATGACAGGGAAAGTTGGGGGGAAAGGAGGCGCTAGTAATGATGAGTACAAGATAAAGAAAATGCTCTA